AGTTAGTTGAGTTTGCAGAGGGCTCTTATGATCAATTAACCAAAGCACTGTTTCTAATTCCATTTTGCAGAGGGCCTTTTCTGAATTATGAAAGATGTTTTTGATTATATTTACTTAACAACATAATTAGCTGAGAATGTATCAGTTTTTAGGAAAACGCTTTTCTTCAAGAGATACTATTCACCTGCCTTTAGCTACTGTAAAAATTATATACATAAAGATCAACTTTCAGAGTCATTATATGAATGAAACTAATTAATATATTACCTTGGTCAATTGTGTTTAATCCTTCATATAAAACCATAAACAATTTCTATAATTCAAATATGTCCATTGTGATCTCCGAAGTCCAGCACATTAAATTCAAAATTCGGGTGAGAGAATGTGTGCCAACCCGGAATGATGTTCTTACCTAGCCATAATCAGCCTTATGGTCTTAACTATCAAAGCTTGAAAGCAGAACCAAGCCAGTGAAATAAAGAGATAAAGAACTTACTTCTTAGCCGGTTGATTTGAGTTCTCTACCAGGAGATCTTTTATCTTCTCATTATAAACCTCTAACATGCTGACAAACAATTCATATCTCATGATACTACTTCTCTCACTAGATAAGCTAAATAGCTTCTCTAAAGTTCTGTAGTTGACTCCCCTATTTTCTGGTGTCCCTTCCATGGTAAACGTCTTCCCTGTACCAGTTTGTCCATAGGCAAATATGCAGACATTATACCCATCCAAAACAGAGGTCACAATGGGCATTGTTTGAGAAAAAACGGCATCTGCAATAGAAAATTAAAAGATTTGGATGTCAAATTACAATAAGCAATAGAAACTTCCTTACAGAAAATCTTAGATACACATCAAATCACTGATATCAACTTACCTTGGCTGTCCTCAGGTTTAAACACGTAATCAAACTTAAACTGCTTTTTAGAGGAACCTGCACAACTGATCTGCAGTTCATTTTCATGAGATGGATCAAATTCGACCACCGATGTTGATCCATCTACAATTTCACTTGCATTTAAAGGTCTACATCTACAGAAGACCCTGATATTTCCTTTGAGTTCGATCACTTCATTATATAGACGCTTTCTTTCAGTACACTCCTCCAGATACTTCTTCTTCAGTAGTTCACACTCTTGGTCGTACTTCTTTTTTAAAACTTCATGTTGAACACCTGAAACAGCCAAAGAGACCACAAATAGATCACAATCGACAACATACGACTGTATAAAAAGACCAGATATGAGATGTTGTTCATACACTCCTCCGTGTACTTCTGCTTCAGTAGTTCACACTCTTCATCATACTTCTTTTTTAGAATTTCATGTTGAACACCTATATAGACGAAAGACCAGAAATAGATCAAACTTACTAGCATACAACTGTATAAAAAACAGATATGAGAATTATGTTCATACTCAAATGCTGAAGAGCATTAAAAGCTTCAGAACCAGAAAAAGAGTCCACACTCGTGCTCTCCTTGACATCATTACAAAGTGCTTCCTGTTCTTTCGCCAAGTCCTAAAAAAGAAGGGATGTTCAAATGAGTGATCAGTCGCACTCCATTGAAACATTGCATTTTAGAAGGAAGTGGTAACATCTTACGAGCACTTTGTTGCTAGCTTCGATCTTCTCCAGAAGTGGAAGAGTCTGCTCTTGATATGATGAACATACTTCTGCGGTACAATGTGAAGCATTACTCTCACCCACTGAATCAGAAGTTCTGTCAACTTTCACTGAACCAATTCAATAGGAAACAAATCCAAATACGGTAAGAAGCAAAACCTATTCATTGAGAATGTCTACACTACAAACCAGCTCCCTTTATAGCTTTAGGTGGTAATCAAGGGGGCTCAGAGCTTTTGAAATTGTCTTGGTGAAAAGATAGAGTAATTCAAAAGCACCATTTTGTAACTCACAATCCAGGACGGCAAATCAGGCATTACAAAATTCCACCCCAATTCCACCACCCTAACTGTTTCCACATTCATCAAATAACTAGGGGGTAAACAAATATCAGTTGCAACCATTTTATTGAGTAACCAACAAAGAAGAATAAAGCAGATCTTTAAATGTTCAAACATCAAAGAACCTAACAGAGCTTACACAACAGCTAATCAAAAATTTTAAGCTATTCTCATCACACACACACAAAATAATTAAATATATCCAAACTATTGACTTAGTCATGACTCATCTAGAAACAATTACTGGACAAGGACAGAAATCTGAAGTTCCATTGTTTTTATGGCACTATCAGTTGACCCATTCATAAAAAGTAGGTTTAAATAAAACACAAAACATTCCATTCTCAAATAAAGAAACCCATTTGACCTTTCTTGATAGATAATGTTAAAGAAGAGACCAACCTTCATCAAGAGTAGGAGAAGATTCCAGGGTTTCACCTGAAACAAGATCCACAAAGAATCAACCAAATATTCATTACCATTCAACATAAAACAAAAATTTGAAATAAAAAAAATCCAAGAAAGATGGTAAACAAACCTCCATTTAGAATTGGTTCAGCCTTGATCAAATTATCCCCAGAGATGGTAACTGCTTGATCAAAAGTATCACATAGCTTTTCTAGGGTTCGATCTGAAAAAAGAAACACCACAATTTGAAGTTCATATATACAAAGCACTTCGAAATTATACAAATTAGAGAGATAAAAAGATTACCGTCCATGAGTGAGTGCGAAATCAGTGAAGAGGAAGATGAAGAAGATGAGCGAGAGTGAGAATTGTGAGGAGAGAAGAGGAAGAGAGATTTGGGAATTTCTTAAACGGTCACAATGGGGTTTGAATTTATGGTGGGATACCTAAGTTTTTGAATTTTTCATTAATCTAACCGTTAAAGTAGAATTACAAAACAATCTGTGCCGTCCGATTTACGCGAGCTACCTTTAAAGGCTGCATCCTCTTCTAGGAGCGTCTCATTTGTCTTTTAATTTATCTTTATTAACAAAAAAGATTGCCTACTACAATTTTGAGATTATAATTGAATACGAATTTAAGTTTTATTTACAGGTGGCATAAAGGGAAAAAAAAAATTTCACACGTCCAATTTAAATTGATGTATTGATCATCTTTTGTATTTAATTTATATATAGAGATCGACTTGATTAATTTTAACTAGATTTAAATGGTATATTAGAAAAGATATTGAAAAGGCGATTAATAGAATTGTCCTCAAGCTTTTCTAAATAATTCGACTATGTTATTTAGTTGTAGTGGGCAAAACGATATAATTGTTGAATCACTTTAATAATTGATAAAAAGCATTACACTTAACATAGTGTAGAAACATTTTTAGATCTTTTATCTTAAGATAAAAGTCGCGTATTAGGACAATAGGTAAGTAGGGATGGACTGTCATTGTCTTGTTGTCCATATATTTAGGCTTGTTGGTATGTTTTGTAGCAATAGTTGTACCCTTGTAGTTCTTGCCACATTCATGTTGTTTACTAAGTTTCGATTATCACGCTGTGTTGTTATTAGTTTTTTCTCATTGTCAATAATATATTTCCTTCATTGTTTTTGTTTTTTTCTTTAACTTAGGTTTGATGCATTTGAGTCGAATGTCTATCGGAAGCAAGCCTCACTATCTATATGAAGTAATAATAACATCTGCATATACTTCATCCTCCTCAAACTCCACTTAATAGAGGTGGGCATTCGGTATTTCGGTATCGATTTTTTTTGGTTTTTGATTCTTGTAAAATGTGTACTGAATATCGAATCGAAATATTTCGATTTGATTTTTATTGTTTCAATTCGAATTTTATTAATTCGATTCAATTTTTTATTTTATTTTTTTAATGGACTTGCTTAGTGGCCAAACGCCGGTCTGAAGTCGCTGGCGGTCTGATTCTGAACTCGTCGGCTGGGCTGCTGCTGGCTGCTACTGGCTGAAAGGAAGAGGAAGAGTTGCAAGAGGGAGTGGAAGAGCTGCAAGACGAATATTGAATTAGAAATAGGGACATAGGGTTTTAGATTCTTTTTTTCTTTTTTAAAAGATTATTTAACATTAATAATTATTAATTAATATAATATAAATATGTTATAAATTATAATATAATATTTCGGTTCAAAATGAAAAATCAAAAATCAAAATAATACGTATCGAAAATCGAATTGAGATACCAATAAATATAAAAAAATAAATTAAATACCGAACAAGAAAACAAAATATTAAAACCAAATACTGAAAAAAATTGATTCGATTCGATATTTTAATTTTTCGATGTTTATGTCCATCTCTACCACTTAATGATATTTCATTAAATATGTTATTGTTATTGTTATCTTTAAAATCATGTTTAAGTTGTGCATGATAGACAACCAAAAATATAATATATAAACTTTAATCTTCACAAAATTACACTTTCAATCTTAACTTCTTATTTGTAGCAAAGCCTTATCCACACATATTTACACCAAATCAGTTAATGTAATACATATGTTTCGTAAATACACATCTCATGTCCTCTGATCTTATTTATATGTTATCATTTTAAATTTTACTTTTCTTAAGAAATTAAGCAAGTTTACTTTTGTATTATTATTTAGTGTTTTATTAAAATTAAATTTTTCAATCAATAAACATGAATTAATTAATTTGATTAGAAGACATTGATTATTTACTTAGTTTTTTTAATATTGATCAAGCATATTAATAACACTCGAGAATTAAAATAGAAAAAATAAATATCATTTATGAGTTAATTTTGTGAAATTTCATATATTAAGGACCATCTATACGACATATAAATAGAAATATAAATATAATGAATGAATTACATATAAAAATTAGGGATTTCTTAAACTTCCTCCAAATCCAAATAAATATCACTAGTAATGCACTATAGTGACTAAAGTATCATTTTCATTAATTTTGTCCTCCAAATTTCTTTCTTTTTATTTCTTTGGACCAAACCGTCAAACTAAGACAAGTTTTGTGGCTCTCCACGGCCTTCCTATTTAACAAACTTATCTCAAAGTGTTTTTGGGAGCATTTGGAAGCTCTGTTTCTATGGCATCTGCTTTATATTCAAGCCTCTCATGGTGTTGTACTCCAATACCGAAACCGTCCTTCAAAACTCCCTTCTCTTCATCTATTTACCCCTTAAATACTCGTGGGTTTTCTGGAATTTCACTCCATAAATCCGTTCCCAGTTCAAGAACCCATGCCAAATTTGACAAATTTCAAGGACAAGAAAATCTTGAACCAGACCCACAATTGCAAACAGTGGAGGAGGAGGATCAAGAAGAAGATGACAGGTGGGTTTGAAGTTTTTTTCTTTCTTTTTTAATCTTTCGTATAGATATTTGATTAATCTTGATCCTTTTTATCCAATTCTTGAATTTGTTGATTCATTGTGGCTCAACTACCCGCTGGGGCGCTTTATCTTAAAGAAATTTTGTTGTCCTTAAGTGCATTGTCATGTGAATTTGTTTCATATAAGCTACATCACTGCACACTACATTGAACCATAAAAGATTATTATTGCCTTGTCAAGTCAAGCTACATATTGAGTCCTGAAAACGAATGGATAAGTTTGAAATCACACATCTTATAAAGTAGTTTGTGTTGTATATTGTATTAGTAAGAGTCAAAAAGAATATAATGAAGTAACAGTTGGTGTCATGGGAGAGAGACGTCAAATCACTACTTAAAATTGAAGTTAATGTTGTATAAATCTTATCATTTGTAGAATAGTGTCATTTTAATGGAGTTCACTTAGAAGGTGATGTGAATTATGTGCAATATCTGTATTTTATATTATGATATCTTTACATGTTTGATGCATGTTATGTGGATGATGTGGTGAAGAAGATTCTGCAAGAGAGTATGTGACTCTAAAGTTGCTTCATGATTTCAAATCACAAACTTGGACGTTGGAAAAGTTGGAAAAGTTGTAACGTGTCATTTAGGACTTAATCTCCACTCTTGGATTGTACCTCTGCAATTTGGAACATGCATTGCATTGATTAGCCTTTCAATAGGCCAAAGTTGTTGAAAGCATTAAAAGTAAAAAATTTAATTGCACACTATTCTTCCTTTTGCTTTTTCATCCTTACAGCTGCCTGCCTTCTGATTTGGAGGGTGCCGTTCAGCAGTCGGGCCAAGCAGCTGCCTCTTTTGTATCTTCAGGAGGAATAAGAGCCATTGTATGTGTTACCAAGACTACATTTTATACTAATGCAATTAGTTATCACTAACAATGAGATAATGAAATTTAGGAAATGTGTTGTCCCATCTTAATCTGAGTCTCTTACTGAATCATGTTTCCCTTTCTTCATTTTTTACATTCTGCCTCTGACCTTTCAAGTCCTCCAAATTTAGTATATTATCAGATTCCTCGTGTCTTTTTAATCACGGCAACATAAAATGCCAAGTACCTCATAAGAAAGATGAGTTTGACTAACATTACATTTGGTTTTATCGGGTGGAGGAGACACATCTTTTCTGATCCTTCTTCTGTATTATGGAAAAGTTATGCATAATGCTCTATAGAATTCCAAGCTCCATTTCATGTTTCCATTATAGTACTGGTTTATGCATAATGCGCTAACCATGAGTTCTAAAACTAATCGGTGGAAGTTCAATGTGATATTTTTCCTCAGGTTGAGCTCTTAATACCACAGCTTCAGTTTCTTGATGATGAGGGTGCACAAGCTGAATTATGGGAACTATCAAGAACATTTTTGGAAACACTTATTGAGGAGACGGGATGTGAGGTTAGCTTAAAAATTGTGACAATACTTGTAATCTAGTATCAAGATTTTGCGACATACTCCTGCTATACCTTAAATATGGAGGTACTTGACTGACAAGAAGTTTGACAGATATTATATTAGTAGTAATGGAAGTAAATATTAGTGTTATGTAGAAATAAGCATCATTCTTAAATTTAAAATTTATTTATTAATTAGTTTAAAATATCGAAAATCGTGAAGGCTGAAAAGAAAGGGATGGTATGCACATTTTGGGACATTTCAGAAATGGAGGACTTTCATTTAAATGGGAACAGACGAGTAATAAGAATCTGACCCTTAAACTTTATAACAAGATTTACGAAGAGTTCTATATGCACAGGGGTGAAAAAACAGTTGAGATCTATGATATCATAAAGGCATCCCTTTTATGTTTCAACAATTGTGTATGATCACTTTATCAAAAAAAAATTGTGTATGATCACACTGTTTGCAGTATTCACTATTCAGAAACATTTCTAATGTCAGCTGCATATAACTAAAGACTGCTTCTAGGGTCCATCATTCACGTGTTTCGATGGTGCCCAAAGTTTCTCGGTCATCTAAAAAGAAAAAACTCAAGACTGCATCTAGATTATAGGCTCTGTTTTATCTTGTCCCATACAGTATGCAAATAGAGATTTAGCTCCTTATCCATGTTTAATTACTAAGATCTAAAACTTTCACTGCTAGAGAGTTAAAGCCATTTTTCCAGATGCTGGAGCTGCCGCACTCCTGAAATATCGGTGGAAAGATGCTACATTTGAATTCGCCAGGTAGACTTTGTTAGATGAGTATTCTCTGTCAATGATTTGATCACATAGTGCTTCCTGAGTTATAAGAGTTCCTAAAATGGTTTCTCTTTCAGTGGAATACCTGAATACAGTTACTTTTAACCATAAAATTGGAATATTATATGGATAGTCGACTAACATTTTGTTGTTGTTCTTGATGTACTTACTAATCCAGTCTAGGGGATCGGAAGCCAGTAAGTAAGGAAGACGAAATTGTAGTCATGGTAGTTCCTGATTATCAGATGCTGGAATATGTAGAGAAAATTGCATCCGATCTCTCAGATGACCCGGTACCCATTTGATAAGATTTCTTTTTATATTTGGATCTCTTATTCATTGAACAACTACTCTCTCTCTCCTTCTCTCTCTGGATCTTCTCATGAATAGTTGAAGTGCCAACTTAGCCTCAAAGTCTTTGAGCACCTCAACAGCAATTAGATGCTTATACTCGATTCATCACAAACTGTTCACTAGAAGTCACTATAGTGCATTACTAGCTTTATTTTTGTCTGCCACAGTAGAAAAGACAACACATTACTTTTTGAAGCTAGTGCTAACTGTATGTGTAAACAATGGCCTTAAAATGTGGTGCTATTTTTTGTCAGTAATCTTTACACCGTCCTTCATCTAATTCCTTGTTTTGATATAAACAAAACCTAAAGATATCTGATTTTAATAATAGGAACCATGACCACCCAAGTGCTCTGGCGTGCAGCTAACTTTATCTTAGTTTCCTTTGAGTTCTGTACCATGTTGCTGAAAGCAAACATATATGGGCTACAAAGAAAGGTCAACCATTTTATCAGAACGATCTTGTATTTTACTGAATTGACTGATCTTGCTGGAAGGTTAGAAATCTGAAAAATCTTCAAATATATATCTTGTGGTAGGAGCAAAATTACCAACATATTTATTAAAATGAAAAAGAAACCTTAGATAGAACAGAGAGAATATGCTAGTTACTTGGGAAGAGTTACATGGAGATGACTTTACACAGTGATTCTTGTTCATAGGTCTTTGAGAATTAGCTATAAAAAAATTAAAAACGGACGTATATTGTGTTCAACCTTCTTCCAATATTGATGTGTTATCATTGAGTTTATACTCATTTTCCAGTTTCTCTTTCGGAAAATGAATTTGGAAGGAAGGCAAAGGGTGAGGATCAAAAATCTTATCAGAAACTTGCTTCAACATTTTCGTGTTGCAGTATTGTAAGGATTAAGAAGTATGTATGTGGTCATGTTACAAAAAATGGAGAGATTTGATGATGGATTGTATGAGAACATTACTTCAAAACTGCTGAAATGAGAATATGAAGATAGTCTGAGGTTTAATAACATAGATTGTGAGAGTCAGTCATAGACAGCTAGTATTTTTCTGTCTGCTAAGCTTGTATCTTTCCAAAAATGGAACTCTGATGACAGAGATTGCACTTGGACTGAGGAGGCGAAGATGCTTTTCTTCTCCAGTCTTTTTCTGTTCAAACTCCTAAAAACAAACCTATTCACATTATAGACAGTAGTAACATCTGCCAAGAGGAATGTGAGTCGAAGGCTATTTGATTGCACGATAGCATCTGTTTTTCGTGATTATCACATACATAAATTGGAACTCTGTTATTGTTTCAACCTTCTTGTCTATGTTTTCTGTTAATGATCTATGGTTATTTTGTTAGCCTAGGCCTCTTATCATGTGGAACCCGCGTCTAATTAGTGAGGATGTCGGAGTGGGGATCAATGTACGTAGGCTGCGGCGCAATTTTTTAAGGTAATTTTGGTTTCTGCAACCCGGTGCCATCTTTTCTTGTCAATGTGAATTTGCGAAACTGTATAGCTTTCCCATATTTTGACGGATTCTTTTTTTTTAACGTTTTTTCACTGCAGCACCTTCACTGTGGCTTACTCAATGAGACCTCTACCAGATGGCGCTGTATTTAGATGTTATCCCGGGTAAGGAATCATCTACTTGATCGTCACAAAACATTCCCAAATGAGTAGAGTTCTAGTTGGAGATTGAGATTCTGTGCAACTGTAAACGCATGTTGTGTTACATGGTTAGCCAATAATATCATGAAAGACATTCAGTGTCTTAGCAAGCAAGCTTATCTCCTTGCTTACAAGTTCTTCCACCAACCTGGTTCAGTTTCGCTAAATAACAGACTAGATGCCGAATGATTGATGCTGTGAGCTATCAAAATTCCAACATAAAACTAAATTGAACTAGATTGGCTTATTATACTTTTAAGTTGTAATTTATCAAACATGATGTTGCATAATATTGGTTTTAGCAACTCTTATAGATTCTCTCTCCGTCTCTCTGTTGCATTTGATTTGCTGGCTTAAAGGATTGGTGTTAAATTGTTTATTTTCTGGTTTACTCCAGATTGTGGAAAGTGTTCTATGATGATAAGGACCGACCAAACAGATATCTTCTGGCCAAGGAGCAGATCAGCCGTCCAACTATAGAAGATCTGGAGGTCTGTTGGTCCACTACTACTATATATATATAAGTTAGGCTGTAGTAAAGTAGTTGTTAAATATCCTCTAGAAGTCGATATAGTTCAGTTAAAAAGATGTACAATGGGTAAGTCTTGCGCTGCTGACTCCTGTAGCACTGAAGTCTTGAAATTTCATGTTTTCTTGTTCTTAAGTTTCCCATAGAAGAAATATGGCTAGAATACAAGGTGGAGAAAACCAAGTTTTCAAGAGTCGTTATGGATTATGACATCTCTCTCAAAAACTTGGTGTTGTTTTTTCGCAGATAATTTATGGAGGTGTGGATGAGAAGGAAGATAAAGGCCCCTCACTGTTAAATCAAGCAGCTGGAATCTTCTCTTCTATAAACCGCTTCATGAAAGTCATTTCAAGATAGACCGTGCCTTCACTTTTTAACAGAGAGGCGTAGTGCTGAGCATTCAACTAAATGACACAAACAATCAGCAGCAGGATTTGCTTGTAATGCACTCTTCTATCTATTTTCAGTTTGCAGATCTTTCAGAATGGATTAGCAGAGTATATATCAACTTACTAGGTGCATTCAGTTTCCTTGTTCAGAGAAGTTGTGGTATATTTTCAAGGAACTCTTTTGTAATTTATATTTTTGTTCAAACAGAAAAGAGGATCTTCCGTAATGGCAGCAAACAGTTCACTTTTCAGAAATCAGACAAGTTGATTTGATCCCTTTATGTCCCAAAGGAGCATACTAGTTCTAGCTTTTCTTCACAAGAGGGTATTTTGGCATGCCATGCCAAATAAAACAAAACATATTCATGGTCACAATTTGCTACAGTGAATCAAGATTCATAGATTACATAGCAATGGTCAGCCACCAACCAGTTCGGAGGTATCTGGCAAATCGGCTGAAAAATCTGTCTCATCACCATCCATGTAGTATAGAATGAACCTATTATCTGGTACATACCCTTCATCTCTCATGTGTCTAAACAACTCCAGCAAGGTAGAATAAATGATCATGGTTCTGGGATGCATTTGATCTGCAACTACGAAACAATGGATTTCCTTCTCAATCTCTATCCAGCTTGTCCCCGTCTCCTTTGCCACTCCTGTCTCCTTCATTTTCCTTATGGTTCTAGCTCTCTCTTTCCACCTCCCTCTGGAAGAATATATATTAGCCAGTAGAACAAATGGCACGGGATTATCAGGTGAAGTCAAGAGCCACTGATCAGCTGCATATTTCCCTATCTCAGCATCACCGTGAATACTACAGGCACCAAGTAATGCTTGCCAAATAAATATGTCTGGCTTTACTGGTAGCTCCTCAATGAAACTCTTGGCTTCACATAGCAGTCCAGCTCGACCAAGCAAGTCAACTACAGCAGCATAATGCTCCATTCTTGGAGTCATCCCATAGATAACCTGCATTGATTCAAAGAATTCCATACCCTTATTTACTAGCCCTACATGACTACAAGCATGAAGCAGAGAGATGAATGTCACATCAGTTGGATCCACACCATATGACCTCATTTCTTCGTATAACTGGAGTGTCCTATAGCCATTCCCATGACGAGCATAGGCTGCAATAATGGAATTCCAAGAGACTGAATTTCTTTGAGCTATACTGTTAAAGATTTTGACAGATTCTTCCAGTTCACCGCACTTGGAATACATGTTAATTAGCCCATTACGTACAAACGAATTGGAAATGAAACCTTTCTTGATGATTAAAGAATGCACTTGCTTACCAAGAGCCAGACAAGTATCGCTACCAAAGACACCAAGAATGGCTGACACTACATCAGGGTCAATGTCAACCCCTGCTTTTACCATTTTTACAAAGATCTGCAAAGCCTCTTCTTCATATCCATTTTTGGCAAACCCCACAAGCATGACTGTCATAGCAATTGTGTCAAGAACCCCCGCAGATTCAAACATCTGCCAAGCATCTTGTACACTGCCACACTTAGAATACACATCCATCAATGCACTCTCTATACACAAATCTGATTGAAACCCCAACTTCCAGACGATCCCATGAATTTGACGAGCCTCCCCGAGTGCCTTCATGCCAGAACATGCCAACAATGCACTTAAGTATGTCAAATAATTAGGCACAACAGCAGCATTTTGCATCTTCACAAGCAAATCCAAGCTTTCCTCACAAAACTCATTTTGAGCAAGACCAGAAATCACAGCTGTCCAAGAGATAACATTCCTCATATCCATCTCATCAAACACCTGCCTGCCAGAATCAGCACAGCCACATCGAAAATAAGAAGTAATCAATGCATTACTTACAGCTATTTCCCTCTCTAAGCCACTCAAAAGAACCAATCCATGCATCATCTTGTTAACCATGATGAAATCAAGCCCATCACAAGCTGATAAAATAGTAGTCACACTAGCATGATCAAACATTAAACTATCAGAACCCATCATTTGTTTGAAATACCCAAATCCCATCTTAAAGTTCCCATTACTTAAAAATCCTGAAACAATCGAGTTCCACGTAACAGTATCTTTCACAGGCATTTCATCAAACACTTGGGAAGCATCTTGTGTCCTACCACATCTAGCATACATCGTCAAAAGAGAATTCCAAACTACAAAAGCGTCCTGGGTACTATATTGATTTCCCAAAAGAACTAATTCTGGGTCCTTGAGGATGGAAGCATGGATGGAAGAACCAAGACGGACATTCCCTTCCCTTCCAGAAGTAGAAAGAAGGAGGCTTATTCCTCGTGCAGAATTCACCGGAAAACTTGGCGGCTTTATGGAGGAGAATGGTCGGAAGTGGAAGAAAAGACATGATAAGTATGAAGAAAATCCAGGCTTTGGATTCAAGAACATCCATCCAGTATTCATCCATATAACATTCAGCAAAACACCCGTAAGACTTATGCACAAACTCTCTAATTCCTTAGGTGGGATGATAATCTGGTAACTCAAAATGTAAAGGGGTTATGCACATAGCTCGCTAACATTTTTGGTTCAAGAGGTGTTTCAACAACATTTTATAAGACATTTAAACTATCACACTTTTGCGAGTTTCATAACTCAACAAATAGTCCTATAAAATAGTTCATAACGAATACTATTACATTCAAGAGAGTTAACATTGATGTACAAATCACTTGCTATTTCAATTTGTCATCAATTAGCCATCAATGACAATGGATTCATGCACTTCGGCAAGAAATTAAGAGTAACAAGTTAAACTTGGCAGTTTAATTTGGGCAACATATCATCAATTAGCCATCTTGCTAACCAACTGTATGCATTTTGTGTAAAATGAATTCCATCCCAACTGATGTGAGTATTCGGGTCAACACACGCTGGAACCATTGGATCACCGCAGCTTATATGTCCGTTGTAATTATATTCTCCGCCTATTCCACAACATGCTTTTTGTAGAGAGTTGTTATCGAATCCTGAAAATGTATTTAAATCAGGAAAGTTATGGTTTTCTTTGCTTAAAAGAAACGATGCTTTTAGCACTCACCAAGACTGACGGCATTTTCTAGAAGCCACATAAAGGCGTTGTAGTAGTCACCATAAATCAGTGTAATGTTTGGGTAATCATTCTTCAATTCATCAATGGCTTGTTGCAAATAGCGATTGTAGAATATTACAAAATTATTTAAGTCCTTCAAGCAATGGTGCTTATCAAAGGCAGTTGAATTGTTGGTCATGAATTTCGTAAGAAAAAATGGGATACAACCTATAGGGAAGTTGCCTGGAACTATAATTCGAGTAGCTCCAAAACCGATAATCCTCTGGAAAAAAAAAGTAATTGATCATTAGGAAACAAATATCAACCAAATAAAAGTAGCAATCAAGAAATTTAAGAAGAGGTAAATAAAAAGTTATAAACTCACTTTAACAGAATGAATGATGGTCTGAACAACTTCTGGGACAATTTTTCGCGATTCTTCGATTGTTTTATCTTGCAAGAAGCCAAAATTGAATTCATTCCCTCCTATTTCTCCCACTAGGAAAAGTGAGTTGTTCAATTTTTCTGGACAATCTAACAAAGCAAGAAGAAAATTAATGAAGAGAATTGAGTGATTATTTAACAAACAAATTAGTCATTGTAATGAAAAAGTATTACTTGGAGAGCAGGTGGTGTGGAAATGGGAAGACATCCAATCAAGTTGAACACTCAATGAACTATTTGTAGCTCCAATATTATCAATGTTGTTCTCTGCCAGGAATTCAGCTGATATAGCAGTAGACCCAGCTACTGCAAAATTTACACCATGTCTAAATTCTGCATTTTCATCTTTGTACGGATTCAGGAGAGGAAGATCACATTCCATCGCTGTATATTTTTATGAGAGATCAAACATAAAACATGCCGATTGATCAAAATATTGAATCAAATTTAATATATCCTTAATGAACTTTTCCTCTATGGTAGCAGCATATTAGTTAGGTCTAAATAAATTTTATATCGGTGGGGATTACACCCCAAGTTTGATTAAGAAAATCAAATTATCCTTTTCGACTTTGAATAATGGATTTTCTTCCTTCTTTATTATATGTCAAGTCTATTTTCTTCATCACTCTTGTATGACTCTTTCTTTATATCTTTCTCTGACATATTATGTATGAAAAATATTTTTTTTCTTAAGAATTGAATCCATAAGTAATTTGATAAAGATGTTTGATTTTTGTGATTTAGAAAAAGAAATGGTTCACGGAAGAAGATGAAGAAGAAAGGGGGTGGGGTAGTGCGGGGCAAGGAGCTGGGTAGAAAATGTATTTGAAATATATTTTATTTAATCTATAATTTTTAGGATCCACTTGTTATATGTTATTTTCTCATTAATTATTTTGTTATGTTATCGAGGTATTCCACATACTTTACGTTTCTCTGTTGATTATTGAAAAATATTTAATAGAAACAAATAAAAGTGTTCGATAGTTAATAGTCTTAGTTAATGCGTCTAAATAAAATATTCAAACAACTTTGAGAGTCCATCGTTGATTTAAGCCTAAATTTAAATATTTAACTTATGTACACTAAAAATTGAAGGATATAAATATCATTTAAAGTCAAGTTAAAAGTTATCACATTATAAATTTCATTAAAATTAATAATAAAAAATTATCCTCTTTATTTATTTGATTATAGAACAACATTACCGTATTATATTTGATCAATATTTTTTCATGTTTCTTGTAATATAATTTTTTAAAAATAAAAGTTGGGAGATTTAAATGATCTTTTCTACCCTATCACACTACTATATATATATATATATACAATTTAGAAGAGGAGGTACAAGCAAAGTAGGCATTCGCCAACTTCCCTAATTTTATGCCAAAGGTATTTTCGTTTTTCTTATGCCTTATTCTTTAAGATTTTGTATTTTATTGGCTTATATATAAAATAAAATAAAATAAATTACAAATATAAAATATTTGGTTGGCTTTTGAAATTTTGTTAAATCATAAAAATTGAGGAAAAAAGTAATAGTATATAATATGTGAAAAAAATAATAAATATATATATTCATCGTTTTATATAGCTTGAGCTCCGTATCATATATATATATATACAAGTAAGAATTGATACCTATGAAATCAATGATGAGCATGCCATTAGAACAACGTCCGGTTACATGTTTGTAAAAATCCATTCCATATGGAGGTCTTTTACACCAAAATTGAGCTTTACAAAGGCTCTCTCTAATGCAATTGCCTGTATCCGAAATCGAGTCACCAAATTGATATATTTTATCAAATCTGCAATTCATCAATCGTGGATTTTTAAGCTTTAGTAATACTTGTTGTTCAGCATCGCCGATTTTCACTGTGAGCAAAGTAAGAAGCAATATTATTGTTGCTGCCAT